TTGAATCATATACTGATCCTGGGGAGGGTATAGGATCCTATATTTGCCCTCAAATCATATACTGATCCTGGAGCAGGTATAGAATCCTATATTTGCAGGGGCAGGTATACGATAACCTGAGGCAGGTATAGGATCTTGTATTAGCCCTGGAATCATATACTGATCTTGGGGCAGGTATAGGATCCTATATTTGCTCTTGAATCATATACTGATCCTGGGGAGGGTATAGGATCCTATATTTGTTCTCGAATCATATACTGATCCTGGGGAGGGTATAGGATCCTGTATTTGCTCTCGAATCATATACTGATCCTGGGGAGGGTATAGGATCCTATATTTGTTCTCGAATCATATACTGATCCTGGGGAGGGTATAGGATCCTGTGTTTGCTCTCGAATCATATACTGATCTTGGGGTAGGTATAGGATCTTATATTTGCCCTGGAATCATATACTGGTCCTGGGGCAGGTATAGGATCCTGTATTTGCTTTTGAATCATATACTGACCCTGGGACAGGCATAGGATCCCATATTTCCCTTCCCTATGGGTCCTGGGGTAGGTATAGGATCCTATATTTGCAGAGGCAGGTATAGGATAACCTGAGGCAGGTGTAGGATCCTATATTTGCCCTCGAATCACATACTGATCCTGGGGCAGGCATAGGATCCTGTATTTACTCTCCAATCATATACTGACCCTGGGACAGGCATAGGATCCCATATTTGGCCATCCCTATGGGTCCTGGGGTAGGTATAGGATCCTATATTTGCAGAGGCAGGTATAGGATAACCTGAGGCAGGTGTAGGATCCTATATTTGCCCTCGAATCACATACTGATCCTGGGGCAGGCATAGGATCCTGTATTTACTCTCCAATCATATACTGATCCCGGGGAGGGTATAGGATCCTGTATTTGCCTTTGAATCATATACTGGTCCTGGAGCAGGTATAGGATCCTGTATTTGCCGTCGAAGCCTACAGTGATCCTGGGGGAGCTACAGGCTCCTATATTTGCAGGGGCAGGTATAGGATAACTCGAGGCAGGTATAGGATCCTACAGTTGCCCTCCCATGAGGGCATGTAGGCGGTCCTGGGGCAGATACGGGGTCCTATATTTTCCCTTGAATCATATAGTGATCCTGGGGCAAGTATAGGCTCCCATACTTACAGGGGCAGGTATAGGGTAATCTGGGGCAGGTACAGGCTCCTATATTTGCCCCTCATTATGGGCACATATGGCGTCCTGGTATAGGACCCTATATTTCCCCTTGAACCATATAGTGATTCTGGGACAGGTATAGGCTCCTATAATTACAGGAGCAGGTATAGGATAACCAAGGGCAGGTTTAGGCTCCTGTATTTGTCCCCCACTATGGGCACATATGGGGTCCTGGGGCATGTATAGGACCCTATATTTCCCCTTGAACCATATAGCGACCCCGGGGCACGTATAGGCTCCTATACTTACAGGGCAGGTATAGGATAACCAGGTGCAGGTATAGGCTCCTATATTTGTCCTCCGCACTACAGGCACATATGGGCTCCTGGCATAGGCTCCTATATTTTCCCTTGAATCATACAGTGATCCTGGGGCAGGTATAGGCTCCTATACTTGCAGGGGCAGGTATAAGATAACCAGGGGCAGGTATAGGCTCCTATACTTGCAAGGGCAGGTATAGGATAACCAGGGGCAGGTATAGGCTCCTGTATTTGTCCCCCACTATGAGCACATATGGGGTCCTGGGGCATATATAGGACCCTATATTTTCCCTTGAATCATACAGCGACCCCAGGGCACGTATAGGCTCCTATACTTACAGGGCAGGTATAGGATAACCAGGGGCAGGTATAGAATCCAGCATCTACCCCCAAATCATCTACCTTCCCCTGAATACCATATGCCCCACGGATCCTATACGCTCCTGGATCCCACCCCCACCCCAGCACCCTCCACCCGCCCCGGGGTGCTCTACGCACCCATGGATCCCATACTGACCCTCTATGTGGCCCCAGATCCCGCTGCCAGAGCACCAAAGCCCCCCCCCCCCCCCCCTTTCCCTGGCAAAA